CGGTGATGGTGATGTTGTATTCGGCTTGGCTTTCTCTGTCCAGCGGTCCTTCTGACATTAGAGTGTAAAAATTCTCTACAGATGGTTTCAGGAGGAAGGGGAGATTGTCTTGGATGGAACACATCACTTTTCCATTGTCTCCAGAGTCCAGATCAGAAACACTGAAGACAGCCACTACAGTCTCTCCAGTGTTCTCAGGGATAGGGCTGTTAACTGACGACAAAGTCAGTTCTGGTGGGTTGTCGTTCACGTCAACCACCTGAACTATGACTGTAGATTTTCCCGACAGGCCTCCGCCATCTTTGGCTTCGATGTCGACTTCATAAGTATTAATCGCTTCAAAATTCAAATATTTGACTAGTTGCATTTCACCAGTAATTGGATTTAGTTGAAAAGTTTTGATAATTTCTTCAGAAGCATGAAAAAATGCGTATGATATTGCCCCAAAATTTCCTGTATCTAAATCAGAAGCTGAGACAGTAACAATGGCAGAGTTAATGGGGCTGTTCTCTAGAATTTGAACCTCATAGAGCGACTGTGCAAATTCTGGGGCGTTGTCGTTTATGTCTAAGACCAGGATGTGAATCTGGGCTGTCCCAGACTGTGGTGGAGAGCCGCCATCCAGCGCCGTGAGCGTTAAAACCAGTTCTGGCTGCTCCTCCCGATCCAGCGCTTTATCCAGCACTAGCTCTGGGTACTTCCTTCCATCCCTACGACTGCGTGTCAGTACGTGGAAATGGGAATTTGGAGCGATCGTGTAGTTTTGGAGACTATTTCTTCCCACATCCAAGTCCTCAGCACTTCCCAAAGGAATTACTGTTCCTGGCGGGGTGCTTTCTACGATTTTCAGCTGCATTTTATCTTCAAAGAATACCGGGGAATGGTCATTTACATCTATGACCTGTAGCTCATTTGTAATAAACTGTAAAGGGTTCTGCAGTAATATCTGAAAGTGCAGCATACATGGTTCTGTGGGGCCGCATAGCTCCTCCCGGTCCAATTTCTCATTCAGGAGCAAATCACCGGTCTGATGATTGAGCTGAAAATGCTGTTTGTTCCCTTTGGACACAACTTGGGCCCCCCTCGCAGATAGCTCCCCTACCCTAAGCCCCAGATCCTTTGCTAGGTTGGCTATTAAAAAGCCCCTCTCTTTTTCCTCAGCCACAGAATAACGTTTCAACTCGGACCCAGCCAGAGACCCACCCAGAAAAACAAAGAGAAGCAGGACTTGCCTTTGTTTAAAAAAGCGCTCCCCTCCGGCCTCCATTGCATTTTCTGCCATGTTCTTCTAGGGAATGTCGCCAAGCTGAGCCTCAGACAGCGCTGGGAAAATCAAAGATTTTTGTCCCCTCAACCTTTGGAGACGGTTTAGGAATAATCCTTTCTAGAGGTTCAGATCTGCTTGCTTAAAAAAATCTGCCCTGGCTCACCGTACTGAATCCGTACTTCACAGAGTATGCACAATGCCTGTGATTTAATTCGCCTTCTTAGTCAACAGCGCCACCATGAGTTCCCTAGCAGTTTAAAAACCTTGGATGTGTTTTTCGGGTTTTTCTTCTTTTGTTTTGTTTTGTTTTATGCTTATTCCCCTTATCAAACCCAGTCGACTCTACTGGAGGAGTTTCTCGTGTCGTATGAGTTAAATAAACACAACCTAGGGAAATGAAATGCGCTCTTGTCTAAAAGGAGTAATTGTCCCTGGTAGAGTCCTCATTTACATGATTTTGTGGAAGTGTACACATGCGAGGCTACTGTCCCCATCTGCAATTATTACACACAAATTTACAAAGATTTTGCTGAAAATGATAACATGCATCACTATCCTATTTGCGTTTT